TCTGGAGGAGTGACAGGTTTCTCTTCAGCTGCTTTAGAAGATTTCAGATCTTTTCTAGCCTTGAATCCTCGAAAGTTAGCTTGGATAGCCAGTGCTGCCTTCTCAGTTTCAGGAGCATCCAAATCTATGTCAATCTCTTCCTCTTCTTCAGCTGGCTTTTGTGGAGCTGGTACTTCTTCAGCTGGTTTTTCTTCTTCAGTACCCTGATATAATAAGAAATACACTTTTCATTGAACCATAAATATAGGATGAACACAAATGGAACACTGCAATACTGTACGTTTGAAGGTATTTTGGGCATCAACATTTAGGAATACCATCAGTCACTATATGTATCTTGATTATCTTCCAGATTAAGATTTACATCCTTGCAAGTGAAGAATCTTTAAATTTTATGGGAGAGTTGCAACACGCAATGGATATATATGATTCAAGCAAAATGGCTAAGGTCTTTATATTCATATTTGGACACAATGCATGTGAAGGTAGCTTACATAAACTGGACATGAAATTTGATCAATCACCTTAGTTTTTGTGTCTTTGACTTCTTTCCTGGCCTTGAAACCCTTGAATCCAGCTTGGATTTTGACTGCTGCCTTCTCTACTTCTGGATCATTGAGGTCAATATCTACTTCATCTTCAGCTTCTGTTGGTGCTGGTTCTTCAGCCTTCTTGTCAGTCTGTAAGCAAAAGTCTAAGTTTTAGCATTCAAATTTTTTGAGGTGAACAATTGCGAAAGATTAATTGTTACATTTAGCTAATATCGAGGTTTGAAAAACTATTTTTTTAAATAATTACTTCTGAAGACAAAAATATTTTTTAACTTTAATTTTCTAAATGTAAAATATTAAAAAATTGTTTCATTGGTTATGATTTAGTAAACATCAAGCAAAAATCAACAATAGAAAGCTGAAAATAAAAATGGATAACTGAAATATAAATCAAAGGAAAAGGTTTAACTATTATTAACACAGTGGATAAGATGGGCATAATGTCTACAGTGGAAGATCTATGGAAGCAGTCGTAAGCTTTTAATGTGCCCTCTATTGCACAAGAAAGCTAATACCAGATATGTTTTTACTATTTTAAACTATTTTCGAGGCTGAAAGCTTCCATCTTAAAAAGCTCAAAATGCAAAATATTTAAAGATATGAAAAGTTCTACTGCATGATTTTTTTCTTGCCCTCCTTCATTAGAGTTGTCTCCCATTTAATACAATACAAAATTCCAACTTTAAGTTAATAGTATTAAAATTTACCAACATAAATATACCTGTTCTTTGCTAATTAAAACATCCTCCATAACAGAAGATTGAGTATTACACCGGTCATAGCATGAGGCCAAAGTGGTATTTTATCTGTTAAAGGGACAGGTTGATTTAAGTCTTGAATATATGTTAATAGTTTTCAGAAGTACTAGAAATGTATAAAAATCACATAATTCCTTTAAAATACTTCAAACTAGGAATTTTACTCACTATTTCTATATATATCTTTTCTATATATCACAGAATATCTTAAATTGATGAGTCGTCATTCTAACATTCAAACGCAGATAATTCTGGACATACGTGGATTTGAAGGCTCAAATTTCAAGTATGATTGGTCAAAATAATGGCCTACCTGTCCCTATAAAGGGATGACACTTCTGTTCTGTATTGAGTTGTAAAGTGTACATATGCTTAAAAGGAATCAAAAGCCTGAAATATACCTATGCCCATATTTTTTGTAACTGTAATTCTAGAAAACTTGAGGTGGGAGAAAACATAGGCAGACCACTTTGACTGGATTTTATCTTCAGATACAACCATTTTAAGAATTTGTTGATGAAAACAAGTGATATGGTTAAAATTATCTTATATTATCAATTCAACAAGATCAACAACATCAATAAATATCAGTAAATATAACAACAGGAGTATAAAATTTTTAAAAATGTTTAAAATATTTACATAGAATTAACATAATTATATGCAAATTAGCTAAACCAGGTAGTAGTATATGATTTAAACCTCTATAAGTAAACTGTACAGACATTGTAAAGAGACACCAAGATATCACACAACAACTTATTAAGATGAAATATGTAAAGAAACATAGTTAACTATAGAATGTATTAATACTTCAAACTATCTCAGTCTATAATAAGCCCAATTAAGACCAATTTTTATGAAAAAG